AAGATACCAACTATGGGTTTAGAGGATGTCGCAGCCTCACTCACCAACACTTGGGGATAAAATTGTGAGAAATACGCATGGCACCGTTTTGACACGGCAGATCGGACATGGCAAAGTGCGCTGGTCTGCCACGGTACCAGATATATCAGATGAAGGGAGACCCCAGTTTGCATCGCCCCGAGCTCTTCTCCAACCGTATGGCGTTTGCCTTCGGTCTCTGGCAAGGAGCTCTTTTGTAATGACTTGCCCCCACTGGCAGAAATCATCCCAGTAGGGCGTTTACGGTAGGCGTTCGAGATCCTCTGAGCTCAAGAGCAGTATGCTGTTGCCATCTATTGGTCACACGGAAAAAGAACGAGACTAGCAGCGTGACATTCGGACCACTACCTGCATGACCCAAGGCAGACTGGTGGCCGGCTCATCTAGTTTGAACTTCCTGGCTAGTCGCTCGACGTCCTGGCGGGCTTGGGAAAGTGTCTTGAACATCCCAATGGGCAAACTGCTGCTACAATTACTTACTACACCACATCGCATCAAGAAAGCCCATAGTGTCCAATAGCCCAGCAGCGACCTTGCACGAGTTCTGAGACTACCTTGCTCCCGCCTTGTCTGGCTTGATCTTACCAACAAATCGTCCACACCTGGAGTGTGGGCCAAAGCTCCAGCGATTTCCGTAGGGACTTTGCGGAGTTTGTGAGCTTACGTAGAGTATCTATATCACTTGCCTCGTAGCCTCAAGCCTCACTCGGTGCTTGCGGGGATCGTGGCCAAGGCTGGCAACAAAACATCGAAGTTCTTGAGTCTAACCCAATGCCTTTCACTGCCTCGGCTCCAACCCTACAAGCCCTAAAAGCGTGAAAGCCTCAAAGTTTTGAAAGTCCTGAGGGGCCTGAGGTCCCAAAATGCCCGAAAAGCCGAAGAGCCCCACTAGCCCTAATGCCCAAAGTCTTGCCCGCAGGCTCCCGAAACGCATCTCGGCCAAAAGGCTCCATCTCCCCGATCTTGACCGTCAGGAGACCGGTAGGACTCCGAGCCCTCTCAAGTACCTGGAGGAGGGGGGGGTGTCAGGGTGCTCGGGAGGGAGGAGGTTCTCGGGAGATCTCAATCTTGAAGGCCCCACATGGTGCAAAGTGGGCCTCGTAGAGCTTCTCGATGTCCTCGAGCCAGGCTAATGCGGTTTGCTCACTGTGCTCAAGGCATGAGGCCAAAATAAAAAAACACTCCCCAAACGCCCTTTCAGACTCTCTTGCAGAGGAAGGCCCCAAAAGCCGGCCGGACAGTTTTACGTAGTTTTACATAGAGCTCCCTCGTCGCCCTGCCTCCTGCTTGGTGTCCTGACGCTTCCGCATGGTCTCGTTCAAACGTTTCACCCAGCGATCCTGCCGAGCTTTCATAAGCATTCAGGATTTCTACAAAGTTATGTCCGTGCAAGGCCACCATGAGTGAGATACCGCTTGAAACACTTGCAACCAGCGGTTTATCCCACGATTTTCAGGCAAGAAGAAAACGTCACTGCTCACTGCTTTTGGACGGCTCGCAAACACCATTCTGGGATTCGCTCCTCGATGTTGAAATAGTCGCAAAGCTCTTGGATCTGTGGGTCGATCTCATCAGGATCTGGTTCTGGCTCCTTCCTTGTCTGTTGCCAGATGCTTCAGATACTTCGGTACGCTGCGGTGCTGGGCCTAGGGCCTTGGGTTAAGCGTGGGAGGTTTCTAGTCGCACTAGCTGGGGACATCTGTTGACACTTGGCAAGTGACAACGGAGCAAACAATGATGCATCAAAAACAGCAAACGTGCGGCCCTCAACCATCCTGAAGTCATGGCCGCTAGCAGACCCATGTCCCTCGCAAGTTCGCTGAGGGGGCTAGTAGCACACGGCTTGTGAAGAGAATGGCTTGACAAAACTGAGGACTTCCGCCTCCCGGGGGTCGAAAAACAGCATTCAATCACAGCACTACAGCCGGACTATGTCAAAACCAAGCAAAGCCGTTGGACCTCTGTAGAGCATGCCGTCGCGTATCAGCCAACCTAAGCCCTGACAGTAGCCAACCTAGGCCGTGACAGTAAACCTATGCCCCACCTCAGCTCTACAAACTCTACAACGCCAAAACCATCAACCCTCACACGGTTTCTCCCTGAAAATCCCTCAAAAACGCCCTCGCTTGAAGACCCTGAGAACCAGCGCCAGGCAGCGCCCTGGGCTCAGGGACTGGTGCCTGACCCGGAGAAGGCAAGGCTGCGCCGCCGCCCATCTTCGCTGCCATCCTGGCCGGCTCGGAGGGTCTTAGAATGTCTTAGAGGGTCTCAGAGGGTCTAAGTGTTTAGGTCTGCGCCGAGGAGTTTAGCGCTTAGAGGAGATCACAGTTCAGGAGGTCATCGGATCTGGGGTTTATGGTTTGGGGGCGCGTGAGCGTTTTGCCTTCAGCCGTACAGCGACCACGTACCTATCTGGCTTCTGTTTTTTCTCTAAGACGCGAGGTACAAGGTGGACTCCATGCTGCTACAAGGGACCGAACATTGGAGCGGAGTAGAAACGTGCGAACTCAGCCCGCCTCCGAACATCCACCAGTGTGTGCTGTTTCTTGCTTTGGGGCCCAGGGGGCCCCTCGCGCAAGCACGCGCCCAGCTCCGGTGCCCGCCCTCTCTCTCGCGCTTTCTCTTTTCCTTCCTTCCTGCCTGCCTGACCTCCTTGCCTACCTCCCTCCTTCCCTCCTTCCCTCCTTCCCTCCTTCCCACCGAAGAGGGCGTGGGGGCGACCCTGAATTGCCTGCGATGCCTTGTGCATGTTTTGCGAGTTTTAAGTAGTGACAAGTGATTGAAATGTCCTGTGCTTCCCAAACTAAACAGGAAAGGGGGAACCCGGAACCCCTCGCAGAGTCACGATCACGCTAGACAGCATGGGGTCCGAGGAGTCCGTGGTGCAACAGTCGGGTGGGGTACTGTGGGGTGCTGTGCGAGCTTTCTCTTCCACACACATTGATTTCGCTGCTACTGCCTAACTCAGCCCAACCCTGCCCTGCCATCTATATCCTCGAAGAATGGGGCGATGCAGGCAACAATCTTTTCGTCTTCTACTGGGCTTGGGGAGCCCGCGGACCCCCGCATGCTGAAAATGTCCTTCTGTCGTGTCGTTTGTAGTCTGCGTGAGTTGTTTGCGTGCGAGCTGCTGAACATTCTTTCTTTGTCTTTGTGGGGCTTATCACCCGAAAGCCCATGGTGCACCCGGACTTTCGGTTGTCAGTGGAACCGGGCCTACAAGTACCCATCAAGTACCCCCTTGCAATGCAGCTGGGCAGCTGCTGCATCATGGCCTGAGATTCTCACGAGCACAGCTTGCAAACTTAGGCTGTGCAAGAACTCGCATCAGCCACGAATCCAAACCTTTGCCCAATCCTTTGCCTGGGCCTTGCCTGACGGTTCACAGTGAAAGCAGAGGCCACATCACGTATTCGGAGGAGGACCCGACCCCCAAGAAAATGCAAACCAGACGCCATCATCATCATGGGATTCATACCTGAAGCATGCGAGCGAGTGTTAAGCTGCAGGTCATTTCATATCCAAACATCTGGAACATCCAGAGCGCAGAGTCAGTCTTGACATCTTGATTCTGATCGTTTCAATAATGAAGTCATCAACACCGTTTTGAATTTTTGAATCAAGGATGCCCCAACCGAGGATCTCTGAAAGCCTTCTACGTTGTAGTTAGTGCATCCACGTGGCCTGGCATCATTCCAGGCATCCTTGGCCGACACCCTCTCTAAGCAGTAAGCTTCTGCGCACACGCAGAAGCTCGTCAGCACGACACTTGGACCACTCTTTCCGCTACGCCAGGCCACATTCCCGGCATGCCAGGCATCCCTGGCATCATTCCCGGCATGCCAGGCCTAGGCAGAGACACAGAAGGAGGGTGAGACACATGTGGGGTGTTGCAATCCAAATGGCATGCCCGGACAGCCGGGCATGCTGGGGCAGCCAGGAGCCCCCGGAGCGGCGCCGTTGGTCGAGCCTTCAAAGGCCAGCAGCTTTGTCCAAGTGTGCTTTGCAGATCTCTCCCTTCTCTGCCTGATTCTATTTCATCCCCCACTGGGTTCTGGCCCTGCCGTCAAGTGGAAAGCCCTGACCTGATGCAGACCCCGCTGGACCCGGCTGCGTTGGCATGCCCGGCATTCCTCATGCAGACATCGGCCAGCGCCCGGATTTGAAAGCTGCTTTTCATGTTTCTACCAGCAGATACGGGCTGCCGTCCTGGCGCTCCCATCGGCATCCCGGCCATCATGCCAGGCCTTGGACATCGCGAGACACCAAACGTGACCCTTTTACAGCAAACCAAGTCAATATGGGGTTCCGGCATGCCCGGAAGGCCCGGCGGAAGCGCCGGGACCATCCCTGGCGGGAAAAAACAAAAGAAAAAAGCGACTGAGTCGGGGACTTGACTTCAAGATTGGCTTGAGGGTTCAGGGCAGAATTATATGGGAGGCATCTCAAAAAGCAGGCAATGCGCGCGCAACCCAAGAGTAAACGGTCTCCCTTAAATCATCTTGAGTCATCATGGACATGCTTGCTCTAAACAACCCCCAAAACCTACATGCAAGGGCACTTCAGGGGCCGAAACCACGGCCTCCGGGCGGTGGTCCGGACATTGTCAGGACCCGACACACCTCTGTGGTCTCCAGCTTGGGCCAAGCGTTGGCGAGCAGAACTCCCAGCAACAGCTCGGCTCGGCGTGCTAGAATACATCTGAAGAGTGGACAACATGTTGAACACTTGATCACTCTCTGAGTCTATCCGCTGTGAATAGCAGTGGGTTTTCCCTCATCCGGACTCAACTTTTAAGACAGAATGGGGTGGGGGGGTGTCGAGAAACTTGAAACTTGTCTGTTTGAGACCTTCGACGAATCTGAAAAGTCACAGCCCGCGAATGTGGTCCTAAACGAGCCCCGTGCAGCTACGTGCAGCTATGTGCAACTCGGAGTTTGATGGGTCCCTGAGCCAAGCACAAGTGCAAACTGGATTGGAGCCGCTGCAATGCCGATGGCACAACCGACACGAAGCCGAGGCTTTACCTCAATGCAGATTTCAAGCCAACGAGATGCAGTGGCTTCTAGTCATTCTAGACATTCTAGTCACTCTAGTCACTCTAGTCACTCTCTAGGTGCTCTAGCCTAGAAGAAAACCTTTGTACTGAGCACGAGGTGCGACCTTTGAAAGTCGAAACTTGTCCAGGCTCAAAGGGGCACTGGAACAACAGTGGATAGAGGAGATGAGCGTGCTGGAGTTCGTATGTTGAAGTGAAAAAGCCATCAGCCGAACTCGTTCCCTGAACATCCTCGAGCTGAGGCGATGACAGTGGGACCCAGCTTGTCACACTCACCTGGCTTAGAGGCGCACATGGAAAGCGGATGTGGGTAGAATCGCTGCGCCATAAAAAAAAGTGCGGAGCGCAACATCCTTGAGTTCCTCGAAGACCTTCTGTTGCCTACTAACAGGTTCTGAGGCTGCTCCCGAGCGGCAGCCAGGGGCAGCTGCGGGCGCGCATGGCGTCCACGCGGCTCCCATCCTAGCTGTCCTAGCTGTCCTAGCTGTCCTGGCTTTAGGGGCCCTAGGCATGCGGGGATGCGGTAAGGCCATGGTCCCTTTCCAGGTCCCCAAGGGCCGTGGGGACCATCAGCTCTCGTGCAGCTCAGCACGTAATGAGATGGAGCAAGCATGGAACATGCATTATGGCACTGTAGAGCTCTGGCGTGCTCAAGACTGCTCCGAGCACTGTCTGGTTTAGGCCTTAGGCAGAATTACCGATGGCAGCGCTTCACCTGAGGTGTTTCTTGGAGAGCTTAAGAGGGGAACCCATTTCACTGGCCTCCCTCTTTGGGGTTGGGCCTAGGTCTTGAGCCATCTCGAGCCCAAGATCATGTCAAAAACCTGGCTCTGTAGGTCCTGCGACCCAGACTGCACCAGATAGGGTCTCCATCACAGCTATTTATCCTGCAGCTTCCCGTTGCACAGAGTCGAGTGCATGCAATAGAACCCTTGCGACTAAGCTGTCTCATCTGCAGCAAACACAAGGCAAGGCGAAGGCTGGAGCGACTCTTTCTTAACGCTTGTCGCCGTTGCAATTCAATGGCTGCTTGCGCTGCTTGCGGGCTTTTGGTCATCCGAACACAGCAACCTTGGACACTGAACTGGCTCTCAAGCTCTGGGGTTTAGGAGGGGTCTTGCAAAAATGCCAAGATTAGAACTGCAATTAGCAAGGTTGCATTGGGCGAGGTCTGTACAAACAGTGTGCCTAAGCGTGAGTGTGCGCGCACGCACGCATGCACACAATGCAATCACAACGCAGCATGCATGTGTCGCATGCATCTGCCTTATTAAAGAGCTTGGCGACTTCTGGCTTGAAGCTGATGATATTGCAAATGTTCACAGGGCTCTTCCTAGGTTTGGGACGAAGTCAAGCTCTGCGCCTTGGGCGATTTGTTAGACAATGAGACTTTGGTAGTCCACATTTCTGGGAGCATGCAGCGCTTGCGTTTCTTATGTCACATGAGGAGACGCACACTTGCCCTGACAGTCGGGGCCGAATATCTTCCAGATCCCAGTGCAGCTTATTATCGCCAAAGACATTGTGCCACTTCAAACAGTTTACAAAAGAAGCGCGAGCAAGACAAAGGTCGTCTGGTGACCTTGGGGCCACCGAAAAACGATGTCTAAGACTATCACTTAATTGATGCTGCTCAGAGTGTTCTGAAGCTTCATGGCCAAATGCCATCATCGCAATGGCCACCTTGTTTCGCCATCACACAGCAAACCTGAACACATGCCGGATCAGTGTCACAGCAGGCATGGGAAATGAATTGAGGTGCCACGGCTGCCATGGAGGTGGAGTTGATAATTTTAGAGCCTGATGTATTGCATCTGCCGTGCTCGCAAAGAAAAATGTCTCTCTTGGTGTCGAAGCTGCATTTGTTGAGTTAGTGCTGGTCAGTGTTGACTCACTTGAGTCAGCATGCTGCTGCACGCCACTGCTCTCCTCTGCTTAATGAAGCCAAGGCACGCCTAGTTCGGGTGCTCGGCGGCAAACTTCCGAGCCATCTTCCAATCTTGCCAAGCATTTGCACAGGCGGACTCACCGCCCGTTTTGACAAGATTCACAAAACACCTGTCCAGGGTGCGTGCAACTGTGACTCGGCAAGGAACGGGGGTCAATTTCAAACGCGTGGAACACGCAAACATCGATTTGGTACACAGGATGATGAAGCACGACGTCGGGGCTTGGACCTCGCACGCGTTCCAAATTCACGCTTTCCTGGTGTTCAGGCTCCAGATGGACGCTCCTCTGTTTTCCGGGGTTTGGAAGGCGGTTGTTGTCAGATCTCTGCACGTGCGAAGAGCCACCTCCAGGTTAAAACAACAAATGCAGCGAAATGGCGGGACAATTTCGGGAAACGCCACACCAGTAGCGAACAGCCGCGCGGCTTTCAATGCAGGCGAGTGGGGGAGAGAGGGGCAACTGCTTTACGGCTTTGGCTCTACAAGGCTTGGTTTCAAGATGCGGCTGGCCCAAGCAGTCGGAGGCTCGATGGCCAGAAGTCATTCCAGAGGGGGCGGCGTTGGTACAAGTACAGTTCCAAGGGCACGCTGTTCGGGCAGAACATGGGCCTGCTGGCTTGAACTTGACTAGCGAGTTTGGTCTGAGGACCTTTTCTTGCAGGCCGGAGGAACACAGGAAATCCGCCGTGTGAAAAACAGCATGCTGGCCAAGACTACCTAAGACAGAAATGCCGCAGCAAAGCACCTCAGAAACACCTCGAAGAACATCTGCAGAAAACAAACAAGCACCGCAGAAAGCACCTTTTGGAAAGCCACGCCATGCACAAATCACATCAGAAAGACCACCATTGAACATAAAACCTTGGAAAGAAACATCACCTTCAAAAAACAAAAAGATACTGCTTAGACAGACAAGTTAAAGAGTCGAAATACACCCGACAAAAAACACAAATTAACATGCTACAAGTAGAAGAACACTTATGAACGAGCTTGGTCACAAGGAAAACCCAGAAACATCGGCTCAGAAAGCCCACCTACATCAGCAAAACAACCTTAAGGGAAAAATGGAGAGAAAGACTAAAAAACAGTTCAGAGAAACCAGATAGAACAATCATTAGAAAAGACACCTGAGAAAGCCTACGGCACGCAAAAAGCTTTGGAAAGAAGCACAATTTAAAAAGGCCTTAGGAACCTCATCTTGCAAAACACACCTGGAAGCAACCACCTCCGAAAAAGTGCCTGGCAAACCAAACCACGGAAATCATTCGAAACAAAGAAGCAAACCTTGGCTTCGCAGCAAGATAGGCATCTAATGGAACATTGCCGTTTCTTCGGGGCATCAATTCAGAACACTTTCCCGCGCTCTAAGCTGGCGTGTTCCCTTAACAATCATGTCCAGACTTCGGGTGCACATCGACAAGCCCCAGCCTCAGATCGTACGGCCACAGCTTCTCATCAATCGGGAGGTCGTGAAATACCTCGATTCTCGACACTGTAACCAAGTCTGAGGACAGCTAGGCAACCCAAAACAAAGTTAGAATGCTCGTGACATGTTGATCCTGTTCTGACTGATTCCTGACTAGTGCACATAAAAAACACGAACAAAGAAGAGCAAGCAAATCAAGCCGGGAGCATGATTCCAGGCAGTGAAGAAGAAATCTGCGGTCGGAGGAGTTTTGGAGCTTAGCTCGAAATACAATGGAATCTTGGGCGGGAACATGATCAAAGACAAGAACTTCCTCTTGATGCACGTCGAGACGTCCCAGACAAGATGATGCTGGCAGAGGTCCAGCCCATTTGCGAGTGCTAGCTTGATCCCACTGGGATCGCCAGTAAGCAAAGGGATGTGATTGCAGACAGCCTCCAGCATGGGAACGTCGTGCCGTACGCCAAGAGCGATTGTCCTGGAGATGATGGGAAAATTGTGCTTAAAGACTCGGTGGTTCACGGGGACTTCCTTCATCAACTGCTGGAGGAACACGTCCGTCACGTGAAAGCGACTCACCACCCACTCCCACACGCTGCGAGGAACGGTCAGGCGGATCCCGTTGATTAGGTTCGCGCCAAATAGCTGTTGCTTGCTGACACGGCATTTCTTGTTCTGGTCTGAGTTCAGGCTGTCGCTGTAGCTGCACTTCAAGTCCAATAACCGCTGGATCATGCGATCGGCCTTCTGGGAGCTGGCGATGCTGGCCCAGGCCAGGCATGACAGTTCCATGTCACTCTTCATCGTCGCATCATATCCATGTTCAACCAGGAGGTCAAGCTTGTCCATGTCACCAGCAAGGGCTGGCATGCAACCAGCCATAAGCCCTGTGCCCATCGTACACGTTCGTGCAGTTGAAGTCACACCGGACCTGGCATTTGGATCTGCTCGAGCCTCGAGGAGAAGTCGAACACAAGCATTCGCTCCGTTACCCCACGCACAATCCACAGCAAAATGCAGGGCAGTGCAGTTCTCCGAAGAACGGGACTTCACGTTCGACCTGCTCTGTAGCAAAGAAGCGACTAGATCCGGATTTCCGCTGGCTGCAGCACACATAAGGAGCGTGATGCCACTGCTCGGGTGCAACAAGTTACAATCCAGCTCCGGGGTCACCTGTAGAGTGCCAGCGCAAGCCTCTCGAAAAGGTGCCGTGAAGTCATCCTTTGCGTCGTCCAACTGGAGAGAGGCGGGGGAAGGCGCCTGAACAGCAACTGCCTCTGGGTGCTCGAAGCGAGCTGAGGCGCGCATCTTCTGCCTGCCCAAGCAGTCTGGCTGGAGGAAGTTGATGTCGGCCTTCATCTCAGCCAAGAGCTTGACTCCTGTCCAGTCTGGGTTGGCTAGGCACCGTGATTGCACGCTCCTCAGCAGGGCAGTTGCAAGGGCGACAACTCTGCACAAAGTATCACAAACTCATTTCTCAATGCTTGCATTGCAACTTCACACGTATCGTCCGATCAAGAAAGTTGCTCGCTCTGCACGCTTTCATGACAAAGAGACCGGAGTCTGTCCCCATCAATGCACAAAGCTGTGTTGCATCCAAGTATCTCGCAAGTCTTGTTGCACACACAATGGTGCATTCCTTAGAAGACAAACCGCCAACCCATTCCCGCAGGGAAGGGCATCGTACCAACTCAGCCTAACGCATATCGGGTGATCCTGGTGCCTTTCGTCACACTGTGTTCTAAGCCTTCTCCACGCTTTCCACACCCTCTCTCAAGCTGGCTTGTCGGTCCGGATGTCATGCTAAGGGAGACATGAAGAGACCAACAAATTTCGCCAGCAAATGCCTTCCTTCGAGCCTGGCCTGGGGCACTTTGCTGCACTTCGCTTTGCACTTCTGGGAGCCCTGAAAATCCTGTTGGAGGCAACGGACGCGTCCAGGCGTCGAGTTTCCAAAATTTCAAGCATGCAAAGCCGGCCAAGCCGGCCAAGCCAGCCTTCGCTTGCCCAGTTAGGTTTAGCTTTGACGCGTCTGTTGGTCAGCGCTGCCCGAGCTTTCAGCAAAAGAGTAGTCCAAAAAATGAGATATGTTCAAAGTCAGCGCTTGGAGTCAAGATCTCCTACTCCTTCGTAGATCTGAGTGCCGCCAAGGTTCCTGTCTTAAGGAGAGCCTTCAACAACCTCCAGCTGCTGTTGTCAGCGCAGAAGCAAGCCAGGGTGCCCACGCCTTCGCAGAACCAATGTGCCATTTCCACAGGCATCGGCTCGGCGAGCGCACAATCAACATCACTGAAAGGCCACATTCCCGGTTTCAGGGTGGTTGGCGCGAATGTCTCTAGCTTGACAAGACGAGCTTGTTCATCCAACCACGTTAGCCGAAGGGATTTCAGATTGAATGGAATATCCTTGGGCTGATGTGGATCAGCAGTCGAACTGATTTGGTCGCCCTCGAGGAAATGATAGCAAATCCTGCCAGCTTTCAGCTTCGCACGCTCGTCACTGCCAATGTATTGGCAAAATGCCTGGAAGCATTCCTCTTCGAGCATCTCCGCCACATTCAGCCACACTGTCAGCCACCAATTTTCCGCGAATCGGTCGCGGCTTTGAGCTGCCACCGATGACGAGCTCAAGAAGTTGAAATAGGAGTTGAAGTGTTGGCTTTTGCTCGTGTGCTGCAGAACAGCTGTTGCGTACTCAGATGCAAGAAGCTCCTGGAAAGAAAGGTGAGCCAACTGAATCTCCTGACCTTTGGCTCCATCCGTCACCGTGAACGCCGGCAAGCGGCCCCCGCTGATGCTATCTCTGAAAGCTTCAAAGATGTCCTGCCGCAAGGACACGGCATACGAATTCGGATACGTACGCTGAACGTTTCTGTGACAACGTTACACACTGTGTGCCGTGCACGGCCACTCATTCTGTATGGTGCTGTCTGTGCGGGAAACGACAGGGAATCACCAGCCTTGCTTCATGCACGTTTTGCACGGAACCAAGCCGAAATACAATCAAGCACGGAAAGACCGTCAATTGGGGGAGTGGGCAACCTTGCCGTCATCACTCTCGCAAGCCCACCCCCCTCCACTTCTCGGGGAACCATCACGTCGTTGTCCCCTCTGGTGGGAGATACTGCTTGCGTGCGCTCGAAGCATATCGAAAGAGTGCATTTTTAATCTCAATGTGTAATTGGAGGGTCAGACTGCACACGTTCCACCCTACGTTTGCTTCCGAGGGCAAGACTCCTCTGCTCAATTTCATCGGAGATGGGTCCGACCGAGCTCTTGCGTAGCTCATGCCACCACCACGGAGGCGGTCACGCTGCAGCTCCGGCTGTCATGGTGTGACACTCCAGAAGGACTTGAGTCTGTGATGGGGGGCGGCGTGGGCCCTGAAATCTCCCCGAAAGCTGTCGAGGATGCGGGAACTTCGTTTGGAATGTTGGATCCATGTCACCCCCTCAGTCACAGCTTCCGATCGGGGGCTTGTTATGCCGCTTTGACTGCCGATACCTGAGTGAGCTGGTCGGGCTGCTTTGGTAGCTTGGAGGAGTTGTTCGTCGATCTGTGGTGGTGCAGCAAACGACCCCCTAATTATGCAGATTTGCGAGAAGTAAAGTTGGCCCTTATGCACAAGCGTGCAACGTGTTGCGCTTCGTTGCAAAAAAAGGCCCTGCGGGCTCCCGAGGGGCAGCGGAACGATTCCTCTGCTCCAAAACTACGGGAAAGGCATGGGTAGTTGGAGCAGCACCAATGGAACAGAAGAGAACTGTAGACTAAGTACTGAGTAAACTTTGAACACGCTCTACCCCATCTGCGAGATCACGGGCATGTGAACGGCTTGTTACAGCTTTTTGAGCCGAGTCATGAGAAGTCGCTTCACGGCTGGGAGCGCAGGCGATTCAGGCGGCTCAAGGAGGAACAGTTTTAGGTTGTCCCTGTTGTGTGGGACCCGCCATCCTTTGAAAAAGTTTGATGGATCATCTACTTCGGATGAAACCAGATGTTCGGCAACGGTTCTAACGTTCACGAGTTTTCCAAGCTTGCCTGTTTAACAGACGACGAGAATTTCGGGGGGTGATCAGGATCCCTTGAGGTTCTGTGCCCGCACATCTTCGAACACGACTGCATATGACTGTGTTGCCACAGCCGGGCGTCGTTCCACCTAAACCAAACCAAACAACGGAACCCCACAAAGTCATTTGCACGTTCGCGATGGTTTCCGAGGTGCGGGAAAGTGGCTCCAGAAGCATGGTGCGCATGTTTGCTGAATTTGGCCACGATCAGGAAGCCGGAAGACTTGACAAGTACGGAGGGGGGGCAACCATGAGGGACAAGAATCTAGAAGACCCCCGAGATTCTTCTGCCTCATCAAACCTCATGCCGAGAACCACGTCACAAACGTCACTCCTTGTCGGTGCAGATCGCCTCGGCCTCTTCCAAGGTGAAGCTGCGCTGCCGTGTGCAATGCTCCTGCCCAACTTTCAAGGGGCAATGGCAGCTTGGATTGGAGCAAACTGGGACCAAGATGGTCCCAAGAGAGATTCACAGCATTCCACCTGCCAGGCAATGGCTTGCAAGAACATCCGCGATTTGGGGCCCTTCCTTGGTTGCGAGAGAAACCATCTGCAACGCCGCAATAAAGACGCTTGCCGCCGAATTCTGCATAAGGTCTGCAACTTATTTGAGTCTCACCAAGGCACAGCATTTCCAGCTGCCGAACCGTTTTCAAGTCCGCTTCACCATCCCGAGACATGAACTTCCTTTCAGCACGGGACTTCCAACCAGGACATGGAACAGCGGGGACCTTCGGTCTCCGTCAGTTGCAACGGCTTACGAATGCCACCGAGCAACGCGGCATCAGCCTGGTGAAGCATCAACCTCGGAAGACCAAAACACTTCTCATGATGGAGCACATCTGAGCACCCGTAGGTACCAGTAGCAATCAGGACGCCAACAGGGCTCCACACGTGTCCACCCCGCATACACTGGAGAAGATGCTTATGAAAGCCTTTGAAAACCCCCACAGTTACTCAGGTCGAGCCACTTCAGGGCCCGCTGATACATGTCTGTCCTGGTTAGGACCACCGGTTGGCTGGATTCCTCCTGGCGTTGGCTCGAGCACACGCGCCCTATGACAAGTGAATGACAGGTGCACCAGTGCAGAGACACCGTGTCAAAGACACCGTGTCAAGAGCGATTTTGACTGCCAGCCCATTCTCCTTTAGGGACTTGCGCAAGACGTGTGTGAGCAGAGTCAAGCACATGGGATTGCCAGTCAGCCCTGCATAGGCCGGGTTCTCGATGATCGCCTTAGCTGAGCACAGAGACTCCCAGCATGAGTGCATCAGTACAGATGCGAAGAGGACCTACGAGTCCATGAGGACAAAAGAAGCAAAAGATCGAGAGATTGCACATCTTCACATCTCTTTCATTCTCTTTCTCTTCCAAGTGGCAAGCATCCTCTGGGTCCTCTCCTCCGATTCCTTGCTGCGTTGCAGGATCGAAGTAGCAATCTGCACGGAACTTTTAATGGGCAGCTTTGACATGAGGCACCCGATAAAGCCGTTGGCCGCAAGCTTCTCCTTCTCTGCAAATCCCAGCACCCCCGGCCGTGCGGTCAGCAAGGGAAAGTGGCAAGGCTCTGCCTCCAGCAGGGACGTGATGAAGAGAAGGATGTTGGTTCGTTCTGCTGCAGCCTCATCCAAACCATCCAGGAGCACGAACAAGCCCAGGATGTCATTGTTGTCTGCTACGCCTGCCTCCTCTTCATCCGCTGCTTCGTGGCTTGCTTGACGAACCTGTGTGATGAGCTGCACCAAGGTTGAATCCCCGCCGTACTTCCGAGCCATCCACACGGCCAGGAGATCATTCAGCACGTCGGGGTCAACGCCCATGTCTGGGGACTCTTGCAGCTGTCGCGCCAAATCCACCAATGGCACCCGGAGCGGGACCATAACTTGGTACGGCGCGCGAGGGACCGGCTTGGACTTCGTTGCCCTCCCTTCGTCTCTGGGACCCTTTCGCTCCGCATCTGCACGCTCGTGAATGGTCCCGACCTAGGTCGAGGTTTATTGTCTTGGTTTTTCCTAGGAAAAAACTCCATTCCCTCAGTATTTTCCTAAGACTCGCACTACTTTTCGTAGGATTTCAAAATTTTGGCTTCTTAATTTTGGGTCTGTTTCCTAAACGACAAGAGACCAATATTCCCTCTGTATGTTCATAGGATCTTGGATATTTTCATAGTAACAATACTACTTTTCATATGATGATTTCTTAGTAAGACGTCGATTAATGTTGCTGGAATCCTTCTTCATTTTGGCTCTGCTTCCTTGTTTTTGTCCTAAGAGAAGCTCTGGTCCCTTGACATATATAGTGGGGTCCACTGAATTCAGGCGGAGGGGTCCGGGGGGGGGGGCCATTTGCAAAAACAACGCACACATGATGGGTTTAGCAAGGACTCATGTCGTGCTGAAACACGCGGGTGGGTTTGCGGGGGAAGGGGGGTTCGTTTGCAAACACAATGCGCACATGATGGGTTTGGAAAAAAAACTTCTGGTATTGTAAGAAAATTCCATCGAGGCTCGCCAAATGCGAAACTGTCGTGGCTTTTGGACGTCTGGGTTCGCCAAATGCGAAACTGTCGTCACTTTTGGGCGTCTTGCATGTCGGGATGTTGAAGATCGTGCTCCCGCCTAGGTGCCGTGAGCGTCGACGTTGCAAACCCCGTAAACATCGTCGCTTTTGGACGTCTCTGTTCACGAGATGCGAAACTGTCGTCGATTTTGGACGTCGGGGGGGTGTTGTTCGAACAACAACTGCAGGAGGGGGGAACAACAACAACCTACCCCCCTCTACCCCCCTCCCACCCCGCCATCGAAGGGGGAAGGGGTATGCCTCACGTAGGGAATCACTGGAGCCAAGAGGACATGATTCCAAAAGACCCGAACCTCGAAACCCCCGTCCCAGTTGCCTCCATCTGGGCGACCTCGGCCAGAAGCTGCTTCGTCAAGACGGACTTGCCCGTTCCACCGTCACCGACCACCAAGGTCCGACCACAGAAAAGCCTCACGGAAGCAAAGCAAACAGAAAAAGGGGGTCTCTCTTTCTCTCTCTCTCTCCCTCCTGCACGCATAGCCCCCCCCTTCTCTCTCTCTCACTCTCTCTCTCTCTCTCTCTCTCTCTCTCTCTCCCATGTCTACCAACACATACCCCAAATACCCCAGAGATCTGGAAGCCCGGCGACTCCAGAGTCAGTAAATCTGGGGCAAACTGTTTGTACACCTTCGTGATCTTCGTCCACAGCGTCTTGGCCTTCGGGTCACAAGGGCTGCGGCTTGAGGTTTTCTTGGTGCACGGCAGGCTCCCTGACACAACGTTGGAAAACAATGCCCACTTCTTTGCAGAGTAAGACTGGGATCAGCTGTGAAACGCCGAGTTTGATGAGTATGCGACTGACCTTATTCAGCCTGTATTTACTTCGTCCCTTGGACAGCTTAACCTCCCGCCTTGTCAGGAAGGAGAATGAGACGAGTGTTCAGCGAACCCACGAACTTCAGTGCAAGCCTTGGACAGCAACGATCAGCAACGTATCCTCTGCCCAAAATGGCCGAAACTTCCACCAAGTCTCCAGTCTGTCATTTGCCGAGAAGCTCAACGCAATGCTCGGTGACGTTCACTTTCTCACGTGTGAGGATATCGGTCGTCCATGCCTCTGAAGCCCCGGCTTGGGCGCAGTACGTCTGAAACTCGAGCTCAAACCTTGGTAGACCACACAAAGGTCACAAAGGTGCAAAGGTACTCTTCGTGCCTGCAGCTGCTGAGACTGTTGAAAAGCGAATCGCGGAAAAGTACAACGGCATGAAATTTCAGGAATGATGCTAGAAGCACATATTTTTGGTACCCCCAACCGATCACAAAGAGCAGTCAGGGTCCCGGCTCATAAGCTGGAGCAGGACTCCTGCAATCAAGCTCGGCGGGTTCTGGGGCCCCACAAAGTTGTCACTGCTTGCGACTTGTCCTGTCTTGCGCCGCAGATGTACTCAATCGTCGACCTTTCTGTCCTTCCCACGTTCCCAGCGATTCCTGCCGCAAGGCCCAGAAGCATCCTATGCTTCGCATTCGCACTTCGCTGTGTTGGCTTCTCCAATTCCCCAGGACTAACAGTGACTAGCATGCTCACATGATAACGTGATGTCACCGTGATGTCCCATGACAGAGGGGTCGGAGGCCACCTCAAAGCCTGCGAACTCCACCAAGCGACGTGGCCCTGCCTCGATCCACTTCGAAGCTGTTGGACCGATGTCTTCCTTCATCTGCCACAAGAGGCGCTGGACACCGGCGACCGCCCAGTACCTGAGTTCGTCAAGATGATTAAGAGGGGCAGGGCCAGATACGGCCGAAGCCGTGCAAACGCAGGAAAGCGCCCAAACTGCGTGTCAAGGGACAATGCTCTCGTCTTCTGGTGCAAGGATGGCTCACTGTAGCTCTGCATTCGGGCCGACCATGCTGAGAGCGCAATCGCAAAAGGGGAACCATCCTCACAACAAAAAGCACCACCACATCAAGCAGAAGGCTTCTTGTCCAGTGCTATTCTAAGCGATTGGAAGCGGGAACTTCGGGAACCGTCAATGTACTTGCAGAGGCCAAGCTTCGTTCCCTGGTGAACCAGGACCACTTTCGTATAGGCACATGCAGTGGCGAATTCGCACCATGATCTGATAGAACAGCCTGGCAACAGGGTCGTCCTTCACTTCGTCCATCAGTGCCGACGGTAGATCGGTTGTCGCATCCGGGGTCGTGAACAGGATCTTGGCGATGGCCTGAATGCCCTTCTCATTGACAGAGTCCTGCAAGTACATAAAGGCGCATGCGGAGAGGAACTTCGACAGGTCCATCAGCACGTGTTTGCCCGACTCCACCTAGCAAGCATAGTGAGAAAAGACTCACCAACCACAAGTGCATCCAATGCCAATGGTGTTGGACGCAAGTTGCTTCAAAGACACTGTAGCAAAGTCAATCAGCCACACAAGACCCTGTGAATCAACGAGAAGGTTCCCGCCGTGCAGGTCATTGTGGCACAAACCTAGGAGGGCTCCATCCGCAAAGGGGATGGAGGGGACACAGCGGGAGCACTGTTCACTCAACAACATCATGCAGTTCCACATATGGCATGGTAGCTGTCAAGGGACAAGTTTATGAACAAAACGATACCCCTCCGATCAAGCGATGGCACGTTTTGCAGTTGGTCGACAAATTGGAGATAAAGAAATAGCGTAAAAAGCGTGCACCGTCAACGATGGAGCGAGTCTGCTTGCATGCGGGGCTCCCAGCTTCTCATGTTGCGAAGATGGGTCAAGTCACTTTGGAGATGCGTGGGGGCGTTTGGGGGGGGGAGGGTAGCCGCGGGTAGAGAATCGGAAAAAAAGATTTATATACTAACATGTGCCACAGGGCCGACCACCACAGGCCTCTTGAAGTGCTCTGAGAGCTTCGATTCCATACCCGAAAACTTTTGGAACATATCTCGCACGGTCTGCTTCCTGGGCTCCGCTGTGGCACACTGACTCATGCCAACAAACAACAGTTCCACATGCCCGAAAACGCATATGATCAGGAAGGACTCCGACCACAAAGCTCTTGGATGATCTTGCCTTCTGGATCCAGGTCGTCCACCTCCACGGGATTCTGGAATCCGGCTGCCAATGCCGGCGACTTTGCCGCACGCTTTGCACCCTCCTCACCATGATTTCAGCTTTATGCTCAGGTCCGGTCTTGGGTTTTAAGGTTCAAGATGCCGCTGTATGTTCATACGATCCAAACTTATCCTTTGACACTCACGAAAGCTGAAACGAGTACACTGTTTCTGATCATTCCGACATAATCTGACATTCTGCAAGCCTTTTGTCGTCTTTGTTGCCGCGCCTTGGCTCGATTGAGGATACCGTGGCCCACAAACCGCACGATCTTGTAGGAGTCCGCCAACGATAGAGTGCTAACCTTGCGATCTGACCTAAGCTGAAAGCAAGTGTGCAAGTTCACATTCCATAGGACTGGATTGCAGTGCATGGAATCCCCCATGCGCAGCCCTGAGTATCCCACATGGTGAAATGGTACATCCGCCTCTCCAGCGCCTCATTGATGATAGGAATGATGTCCACCGACATGCTTACCTGGCTCATCACAAAGCTCGTGTTTCGAACCTTTAGACATAACAGAAGCCAATGAAGAAACGCAAGAACGCGTTCTCATGCGCAGCCTCTTTGAGCTCCTCCTCCAAGATGGAGGCAAAGGTATGCACCGGCGGTGCCTTTGCAAACTCCGGGAGCCCGAAGACGCCGCCGCAGAGGTCGATCTGCATCACGGAGGATGGATCCTTCGTATCCACCAGAACGTAGTCCTTCACCTGCCAAGGGGCCCAGAGTTGAGAAGACCTTCTGATGTTGTGGAGTCTGCGGCTTTCTTTGCTTGAACATCATGACCGGAGAACGGAGGAAGCAAAAGCCACGCCTGAGGCGTCGTCGAACCAAAGAGCATCCTGTACTTGTTGGTCTTTTCCATCCTGACGTACACCAAAAGGGCCACTCCAGGAAATCAGATAAGACTTACTTCGGACATGCAAATGTGTGCCAAGACTCTCATCTTCGATGCCTTACGATCCCGATGGTGCAAAGCAACTGTCCAACTTATGGAACAATTTGTTTTCTTTGTCCTGTTACAGACTGGTGCCTCCAAGCAACACTCCTTGGAATCGAACTTCAGAACCGATGCAGGCATTGGAACATTGCCGTCCCGCATGGGTGTCATGAAGAAAACGGAAGCCCCACTGAAGCTCAAGCTGACTCGCTTCACCTTGAAGATCGGATATTTGCCTGAGATCCACTGCTCAAAACACAAGCAGAACAAGCATAGAGCAACCATAGGTTGCGTGCTTCATGATGTTTTATGCGACACTCAAAAGCTCGTCTGAAACTCGAGACGTGCTGCTCGATTCTTTCAACATGAAGAAAGACTTCTGCTGTGCTTCTGTCAACAGGTCGACATCGCCGACCATTTCGTGGTTTTCGATTTCGGCACTCGTTTGTTGCATATCATCGTCATCGACCAAAAAGTATCCTCAGATTGACAGATGTCTGCTGTTAACATTGGTCACATGGCTCGAGGACTCACAGTCCAGCCACAAGTTGAAAATCAACCTTCGAGCTTAAACTCAGCATGGAAACCTTGCTCAGCAGCCGCACTCACCTTTGCAGCATCCACTTCAAGGTCGATCTCCTCACACACGAAATCACGAAGCCATGCACACTTTGCCGAAACCGCCACTGAAGATCTGAGCACGAATCGTGCACAGCACACATCATTTGCCAACGTTGGGGTCCTTTGTGCCACCCATTAGTCTCACAACGTCACAACGACGACACTGCCAATCTCACTTCTCCCAACTGTGGCGTTTCTTGGGCCAATCAAGTGCATAGCAAGCGCATATCAATCGTATCGAAATTGTCCGACAGCTGACCAGTGAATTGGCACCCGACACCAACATGACAGACAGCAGGAAAGCCGCTTTGTAGATACAAGCCAGCATGAAAACAGGAACAACGCAAGCTATTTGCCAGACCAAAGCTCCACAGATTTAATGTTGGTTCTTGCAACACCTATCGCTCAGCGATGCCCGACTGCCTCGTTGCGCTGGCTCATGAAAGCATACATGCACTTCAGCAATGCCAAGCAGGCATAGGCATGATCGTTGCGCACGTGCCCTCGGTTGCTGTTCTGCAGATCAATTTTATCCAACCCGTTCTGCAGAAAAACCTTTGACAAAAAAGACACCGTGCCTTGGTACTGGCTTGCACACGACACCGTGACATTGAATTCGCTGTCCCCATGATTTGGCGGCTCACACACGAACCTTTCGTTGAAAAACGATGCTTGTGTTACTCGGGTTCATACTTGATAAACGCAAACGCCATGTTGTTCTCAAGAATTCACATGTGGTCGCTGACACAGCAACAAGTTCGAGGGGCATACCTGAACCGCAACATCCTTACAGGAACGATTGTCCACTCTTCCTGGGGTCCTGCACTCCTGCAGCGCGTGGATTTAGCGGGATCTTTGGTGTGTTCCGTTCTTGCGACATCACAGCCACTCAAGTAAAACGTGCAATTTTGTACGAACAAACAGAACTGACAGGACAACTGACACGGCAACCTCATTGAACAAAATGCGCCAAGCTCATGTGCAGTCGGACCTCAACAAGGCAATGGAATTAAAACAATAATGATGTTTCTCGAAACCGTTGAGTTTCGGCAAAATGCAACAGCTGGGTAATATAGGCCTCGTCGCAAACTTTACAGCTTTTTCACCCAAGTTTCCACCGTTTCACCTCTGCAAAGCCCAGAAGCCGAAACCTATGTGACCTCGAACAACACTTTTTTGGCTCAGCGCGGGAAAAGAGCCGGAGGGCTTGGGTTTGGAGTGTAGGTTTTCGGGTCATCCTGGAGTTGAGGCAACTTCCAAGCCACAAATCTGGTAGTTCCATCTCACGTTCTCTCATTTTTCAGTTCTATTTTCCAGGCTTGTGATTTTTGGTTTCCAAGTATGGACGGCTTTGCACCTCATTGCATGCGCTTAGTCTCCAGAGATCGGCCGTTTCTGCCGAGGCCTGCGCTGGCCAGCACAGGGGCCCGTCCGGGCGTGAGACGTTGTTGTGACTATCACGGCAACAGGCAACAGGCTTGACCCCATCAAGGTGCCCACTAGGTATTCCGATTGTAAGGACCAACCGGTCTGACTTAGGAGACAGTGTGCGTTGGTCTTCCCTCCTTGCCTTGAGACTGGTCGCTGTCTGGCTGACGCAGACCTCGCCCCCCCGCCAGCCCCCACCAGCCCCCGCCAGCCCCGCCAGCCCCGCCAGCCCCGCCAGCCCCCACCAGCCCCCGCGCCCCCACCCCCCCCGCCAGCCCCCACCAGGCTCGGCAGCCAGTGCCCAGCCACCCCCCGGCACCCACCCCCCCCCCACCCCACCCCACCCCACCCACCCCCCCCCCCGCCCCACCCACCCTACCCACACCCCACCCCCCCCCGCCCCAACCCCAGCCCGCCCCATCTCACTCACCACCACCACCCCACCACCCACCCTCCACCCTCCCCCCCACACCCGCCCCCCCACCCCGCCACCCCGCCACCCGCCACCCCACCACCCCACATGATACTCCCTGCTGTTCTCTGGCCTGGTGAGGGCAAGTGCATCATGTGATAAGTGTGTTCTAGAAAATTGTTCTCCGCGACACTGTGCCCGCCAGCAGCGGCAGTCGGACCGTTGGTCACGTGCTTCAAGTGCCGTTGGTGCCATGTTGCCTTCGGAGATTCAGCCTTTTCCCCAAGATACAAGAAATACACAGCGGAAGAAAACCAAGGTCAACTAAGTTCCGGCTGTCTCCATCTTGGGTAGTTCTGAGCAGGCTGACAGAAAGGTTGATTGGTGAGTTCACAATGCAGCCTTGAAGATGCACCGCCGGCGGCGGCGGAGGACGAGGGCAAGGTGCGCCGCGTGACGCAACGCAGCCTAGGCTTTGCAGCCATTTTCAGCATCCGTCCAACTTCCGCGCACAATGGACAGCTTGTACAACTGCTGGAGGCAGACAGAAGCTGGGCACTCTGGATGGACTCGAAGCACTGGGCATCATTCTCCAGCCAGTTAAAACCACGGCCACCTGTGTTCAAGAGCATGGTAACACATGCTGTTGCTTGTGACAGCAGCTTGAGCATGATAACGCAGTTCATCTATCCCGCCCAGCCCGCCCCGGAGTGTCTTTGCACTTTTGAGTGGGGTTGCGTGCAGCGAATGTAAGAGCCTTGGAAAGTGCATGTCAGCTTTGTCTTCCTGCGTTGCCACGCTTGTAAAGTGTTTTGCATTTGTTTGGAGCTGTGCAAGCACCTTGAGTGGCATTTGAGTTGTGCGAGCTGTCTGCGACTGTGTAGCTTCGTTTGAGGATGGGCCCCCCCCCCTTTGGGCAAAGGGGGGCTTAAGCCCCCCTTTAAGCCCCCCCCTTAAGCCCCCCTTCAAAGGGGTCCCTGCAAAGGGGGTCCCTTCGGGGGGGGGGGGGGGCAAAGGGTCCAAGCCCTTAATCGCCCGCCCCCTTAAGCCCCCCTTAAGCCCCGACTTAAAGCCCCCCTTAAGCCACCCCCTTAACCCCCCCTCTAAGCCCCCCCTTAAAGCCCCCCCCTAGCCCGCCCCCTTAAAGCCCCCCCTTAAAGCCCCCTTCAACCCCCCCTTTTAAGCTCCCCTTTAAGCCCCCTTTAAGCCCCCTTTACGCGCCCCCTTTAAAGCCCCCTTTAAGCCCAACCTTTAAAAGCCCCCCTTTAAGCCCCCCTTTAAAACCCCCTTTAAGCCCCCCTTTAAGCCCCCCGTTAAATGCCCCCTTCAGAGCCCCCCTTTGGGCTCACTTTAAGAGGCCTAATACTTGCTGGGCCTTTTTTGGAGGGTTTGGGCAGCAGTTTAAAAGGCGCAACACTTGCTGGGCCTTCTGCGGAGGGTTTAGGCAGCAGTTTAAGAGGCCTGACACTTGCTGGGCCTTTTGTGGAGGGTTTGGGCAGCAGTTTAAAAGGCGTAATACTTGCTGGGCCTTCTGTGGAGGATTTAGGCAGCAGTTTAAGAGGCCGAATACTCGCTGGGCCTTGTGTGGAGGGTTCGGGCAGCAGTTTAAGACGTCTAAGAAGCGTAATACCTGCTGGGCCTTCGGTGGAGGATTTAGGCAGCAGTTTAAGAGGCCCAACGCGAGCATCGTGTTTGCAAATGGGGGGGGCTGCGCCCCCCCCAACCCCCCCGCTTGTTTAAGCCGGGCAAACTCGCGTGGAAGCATATGAATCATGTCCAAAACAAAACAAAACATGGGGTTCTCGGCTTAGCCCCGCGCCACGTCACTGCTATGCAAATGGGGGGGGCTGCGCCCCCCCCAACCCCTCCGCTTTTTTCTGCCGGGCAAGCTCGCGTGGAAGCATATGAATCATCTCTGAAAAAAAACATGGGGTTCTCGGCTTAGCCCCGCGCCACGTCACTGCTATGAACTCTCTGCTCCTTGAAACTCGAGTAATGAACACAAAAAACAAAAGAAGAAGCGAGCGGGGTGGAATTGCCCTTAAGCTCCCCTGTAAAAAGAGTGCCACTTCTCTGGTTTCGAAGAATGAAACCCAAAAACAAAACAAGATTCGAGGGGGGTGGAATTTAGAATACATTCCCTTCTTTCTTTTCGTAAAGGGAAATGAATGTTTAGAGTCTCACTTCTCTGGTTTCGAAGAATGAAATCCAAAAACAAACACAAAATGTAAAACAAGATTCGAGGGGCGTGGAATTTAGAATA